AAAATAACGGAGGAGTGAAGTAGTTCTTCCTCAACGCGGGATGTGTAGGTAACATTTCGAGGTTCAATGTTTCTGCCTTTCCAAGGCGCGAGCCCTAATACAGCCCTCTGCTGTGTTCAACCAGGCTTGGCCGTAGGTGCGGTTCTGCTTACCCGTTGATCCCTCTAAGGGCATAGGCATTGATGCCGGCGATGCGTTATGTGGTGAGGAATTTTCTTTCGTCGCGTGTTGCCCCTTTCCGCCTTATTTTAATCCGCCCTTTTGCATGGGATTTCATCTTTTCGGCAAAGCAGGGTTGATGCCATCTCCGACGGTGTACCGGAGGCCGTCTGAATAGGACGCCCGTGCCTTGCGAGCTTGGTGTTTCAGTCCAAGCTTAGACGGGTTGTATAGAGGGAGCGGTCTTCTTGATTGTTGTGGTGATCGGCGTCCGGAATCCGTCAAAGATTCAAGATGTGGGAATGACTTGGTTCGTCGGTCCAGACCGTTCAATTGATTTTGGTCCGACATTGTTGGTGTACTTGATCGAATCTTCTAAACTCATGAACATACATTTTATTGAAAATAGATTAAACGATGAGGAGGGTTACCAATGTGTCAATGTGAGACCGAGGCGAGCTCTCTGTGTCCTTTTCTCTGGATGTAAGGGTGCCCTCTTGAATATTTCCCCGGACTCGTTTTTACCTAGCGACGAAGATTTTCGCTTTCCATTTCATGAGTTCTCGGGGGGTGTCGCCGCTCCTTCACTGTCGTGGTAATACGTCATGGCTTGTCTGCTTCATTCTTCCTGGTTGTTTTCCTCCCTTGGGGCTGGATTTGAGTCTGACCACTCGACGATACTTGGTGTTGATTTTTATTGAGTAGCACGGATGTCATCCTTCTGAGCTAGTGTCCGTTTTCGACCCTGCGGCCGCGCGTGCTCTGTACTTCCCACGCCGGGTTGCGGTTCTTTTGAAGAAGTCTTGGTCGAATAGGACCGAGTTGTTTGGCATCCCTTGTTTCACTTATGGTGATCACGATGTTTGTATAGCAATGCAGAAATCGTACTCAGTTGGGCGGGGTTCCCTTGCCGGTCGTGCCTTATTAAATCTGGTTCCACTGGAGATTCCTCGAGGGTGTTGTCCTCGGGCTATTTCCCTATTGTTGCGAAGGAGGTTGCATCTTGTGCCGTTCTTCCCATACATGGCGCATGGATGGTACCTCCACCTGTCTGGCATTAGTTTCTTTGTCGGGAGTCTGCTTGGATGTACCAAGCCCGAGGGAGTTCCTGGGGGGTTGTCCACGGCCCTACTCCGTGGCTGGTGCCAGGTGCGTGTATCCGGCTAAGTCTCGGTTGGGTATCTGATCAGGCTTCATCTGAAATGTCCTGGAGTCGTCGGGCATGCTTTGTTTGAGCTTCGGGTGAAAGCCTGTGTCGCCCAATTATCCGAAGACGAGGTAGATCTCACTCGTCCTGTCGGGGAACGAGGCGTGACCTCCTGAGGTGTTTCATTCTCTCTTTGTTCGGCCTCCGATATATTGGGCTCTTCCGCTACTGCTTCGATGGCATTGGCGTATGCTTCTGCGGAGGAATCTGTTGTGCGGTGAGTGAGTATGTGAGGTCGGTCGACAGGCTGCGGCGCCATATCATGGTTTCTATCGAGAGTGTTTCTCCGAGTTTCTCCAGCGAGACAGGCTCAAACTTATCGTCTTGAATGTCGCTGCCTTTCTCTGCGCATGCGTAAGCGGTGGTGCGCTCATCGGGACCCGAGGTCCTGTCGCACCTGCGGGGTTTCGGCGTTCCGGGTTTCTGTGAAGCGAGTTCTGGGACCGCTTCCTCGGGAGACAATTGTTGTATGAACTGCCACGAACGTGACTCGATCCTTTCGAAGAGATCTCCAAGCATCCTCGCTGCGATAGGGTCGGTTACCGATCTGTTGTTGCTTGATCTCTCGGGTACTCGTTCGGCGTAGGGAGATGTTCCCGGTGCTATTGCGTTGGAGTCTCCGGGTGACTTTGCAGCTGAGCGATAGCCAACCGCTGTGCCTACAACATTTTAGAAATAACATGAAGACTAACTTCCTATTCTTCCCGGGCCGGGGTTTTTTGAGCTTCTTGTTGGCCGATATGTTTTATGCTACCATCGGTGCACGAGGCTTCGTCGACTTGATGTGCGTCTTGCTAATCTGCATCCGCTAGAATCGGTCTGGGCGCAATATCAGGATTCGGCGGAGGTGCTCCAGTGGCCGGGGCAGCCACGCCATTTTCCTCGTGATTTTCGAGGTTGTCGTTCTCAACTTCGTTTACCGAGCCAGGCATTTTGACCTGAAATCAAAGGATCTTGGACAAGAAAAAATGCGAAAGATAATGTGCATTTGTGCAATGAAACTAGAAAGAAAATAATCACTATTATTTTTAGCCCCACGGTGGGCGCCAAACTGTTTACCGTGAAAATGGTAACAATAATTAGATTTGTAAATGGGATTCTAAAAATACGTGATCTATTCCCGAGCTAGTTGCTAGAACAGTTGATGCTAATAATATTAAGTTTAACGATAAAGTGCGAGCTAAAACAAGGCAGTAATCAAACCGAGGTCCCCATCGATCGGCCTTGCGACCGGGCATCGGGCCCTTCAGTTTGATTACTGCCTTGTTTTAGCTCGCACTTTATCGTTAAACTTAATATTATTAGCATCAACTGTTCTAGCAACTAGCTTGGGAATAGATCACGTATTTTTAGAATCTCATTTACAAATCTAATTGTTGTTACCATTTTCACGGTAAACACTTTTTCATGTGCATCTCATATGTTTGAGCTAATCATAACTATGCTTCACAAAATGGACCTGGTCCATATCTGAGTTCCTTTGTTAGTCTTTAAAACTTTATCTTTACTTGGGCCAACAAAAACCAAAACCTCGATTTTATAGCTTCTGCCCAGAAATTCTGCATTTGCGGACAGTTCAAACCATCTACCTTGACCACATTCACCTTCACTAATTTGAAACACCGTTCTTTTAACATCACTGGATTTATCGGACAATTCTAATTGGAGCAAATTTCTCGGCATGATAAATTTTAGATTCTTTGTAATTATAAACAGAACCTGAACCAGCAGATCCGTGACGTACGTAAGTTCCAACTGAACCAGTTATTCCACCAATTTGAGGGTCGTAATTATCGAAATCTTGCAATATTCCATATGATTTGCAGACGAGATTCCCTGAATCTTCATCTTGAGTTAAAGTCCTTTTGTGACAATCAAACTTATGCCTTTCATCTTGTGTAGGATTTCTTTTCCTCCTGTCATGACTCTAATATTTTTCACAGAAAAAGTAAAACGTGTTCTTTGAGTGATAGATATATAAACTATGATATGATAATAAAAATATGGGAACAGTAGAGGGTGGGCGATGGGATAAAAATATGTGCTAACTTTTTGATTTACAAAAGCGTCCCTTTTTAAAAGGAATGACTCACGTACTTCATGCTTTGCCACAAAACAATATGACTTTTAAGAGTCATCTTACTTAATAGCATGTTTGGCCAAGTTTATTTTTGGCCAAAATTGCTTTTTTTTTGTCAAAAGTACTTTTGGCCTTGTCACACCTTCTTTTTTCCTACACCCCCGTAAATGGGTATATAAGGGAGTTTTTTCCAACTTAAAATGACAATCGAAACGGGATTAATTATTAAAGAATCAAAGTCGCCACTTGAGATAATTTATGGTGTCCCAAGTCACCGGCTTAAATCCCGAATCGAGGAAAGATTGACTCTGTTTTACAGTCCACGAACACAGAAATCCGGGAAAGGAATTCTGTTAACCCGGGAGAAGGTGTTAGGCATTCCTGAGTTCCGTGGTTCTAGCACGGTCGCTCAACTGTTATAATTGGCCTATTATCTGATTTTAATATATGTTTAGCCTATGGTTCAATTTTAACTTTATAACCGCTTTTATTCATTTTAAAGAAGATTGCAACGTCATTTAAAATACGTCTTGAACCACGTCACATAAATGCACCCGCAGTCCGCAACACATTTTATCTAGCGTTGTTGAGATTTGGATTTGGGTCACATAAATGCGCACCCGAGTTAAAGAAGGTAAATTTTTAAAATAGCGCGCCTAAAGCAATTACGTACTTTCAAGTTTGCGAGGGCCATGGAAAATTCAACTAAATGGCACGCCTCGACTCTAAGGATTAAAATTAATTAAATGAGGGCCATCAGTTTTGGGATTTTATTTGGCATGGCACACCTCAAATTATTTCAAAAGGTTTTATTATTCGAAGTTGTTAAAATCGGGTTACATAAAATGCACACCCGAATTTTGGAATTAGGTATCATGACTATATCACGAGAATTGTACCCATAGCCATGATGATTCATTACAACACGCGCCTAAAGCAAGTTACGAGTGATTATTAATAACATTTGTAATTCATCTAAGTAAATCAAAATGATTCCTAAGGATGGAACTGGCTAAAATTATAAGCCAACAAAGTTAAAATGCCAACATTCCAAGGACAAATGATAACTCACAATTGTAGCATATTCATAAAGGCAAGACTAAATTATCCTACAAAGTTATACAACACAACTAATACTTTTCAAATTTTTTTTTTTTTTGAATGAATGAAACAAGAAGTAGTAAGACTACTATTGACTAAACATTTAATAACAAATAAAAAAAACAATTCTTAGTTCCAACAGAACTAAGAACAATTCACGTTTTTTGTTCAAACAAGGAAGGGGAATTTTAAGCTCAAAGATTATTAGTCAATCTAAACGTAAAATTAATAACTAAAGAAAAAAGCTAAAACATTCAGTACATATTTCCTTAGGGCAAAAGAATACCATGATTTCAATTTCAACAAACTTAAAATACTTCCAAAAGTTAATCATTAAAAAAACTAAATACATAATAAAAGAAATTCAATCCTCTTTCGACATATCACCCAAATCAAAGTTATTTATTCACATGCTTAATAATTGATTTAAGAATATAATGGAAGAAACCAAACCTTACTGCTGAGAGAGAAAATCAGATCAAAACAACAAGACCGACGAACCGGACCCAATTACGATCTCGAAAATCCGACAGAAACTTCAACCAAACTCCATTTTCAAGAACCAAAATCAAGGAGGAAGGAGCTGAAATTTGTATTCTTTTCTTATTCATGAAAATGGATCTCTGCAAATGATATTTGATTTTTGAAAAAAGGTCCGTTTCTTCATGCTTTTGACCTTGAAAAAGTGATTCAATATGGAGAAACTCTAGATTTTCACGAATATGTCGAGACCATTCTGTCTTTGTGGCAAAGAACTTTGGTATTTCGCCAAAAATAGAAGAAGCGAGAGGGAGCGTCGTTTTGGTCAAAAAATGGGGCTGATGGGAGCCTTTTCCTTAGGTTTGTTATTCATGAAAATGGCGGATCAGTGTTTAGGGGTGTCCCTTTATGTTTTAGGTGTAGGTACTATTATATAGGGGTAGGGATTAGGTTCGGGGTATGAGCCTAGGAATTACGGGCTAGGTCCAAAATCAGTCCTCAAAATAAGTTGATCGAGCCCAAGTTTTATATTTTTTTTCCGCGAACGAGGTTAAAATACGACTTAATTTATTAATTAGTCCTACTTAAGTAAAGTAATTGTTAAAATAAGACTGTCCATTAAAATAAACTATTTTTTGTATTTTTTTCAAGATTAAAAATGACTACAAAACATTAATGGAACAATTTTTGTAATTTTTATTTTTCTTGTAATAAAATAAAATAAAAGAGTAAAAATTAGTTGAAATAGCTATATTAGGCCTAAATTAAATATTTACATGCTAAAATAAAAAATATCTTGGGGAGGGTCAAAAATCACATGTCTACAGCTGCCCCTCTTTGACTGGAAATGCAAAGAGTTTTCAGACAAAGAATGACTAGACAGGTTTTTTGACCCGACCCTTATTTAAGGAGACCAAAAACTAAGAGGAAGGAGAATGTGACCGAGCTCTGGTATTTGAGCTGCCTACATATCCTTGGCTATAAAGGAATCAGGCCACGTGTAGTTCAGAGGTGAGTGAGATGATGGAGTATGCCGAGGTGAAGAGCCGGTCGAGGTGCCGTTCCGCCGAGGTTCCGGTCCGCAGTCCCGTTATTACATCAAAAAATCAAGAAATGGAAAAGACTAGCTAAGCCTGCCAACTACGAGTTACAAGATTCCTATCTATAAGTCCTCTNTTGAGTCTTCTGAAGCTTGATCTTGAGTTTTGAATGGTTCTTCATACAGACTTTGGATTTGAACCTAGACGTTTGCTAGTTGCAGGTGCTAGTTCGTTCTTCTTCTTCAGCCTTTCAGACCAAAACGGGACATGCAGAGCTTGTGACCTCAGCCCTGTCTTGAGCAACTCACATCTTTCATTAACTTCTGCATTTGGATTCACTTCTTGTCTTTCTTTTTGTTCAAGATTGTGACTAACTTCTGTTGATCATCTCGAACTGCTGACTCGCATTCTTGATGCGAGCTTCTTTTGTTGCTGACCTGAATTGCATTCTGAATTGAATTCTATTATTTTCCAGGTGGGCGCCTGATTGCTGAACTTGAACCGTCTTTTCTTGTTAATTGACACTGTTTTCCCTTGCACCTTGAACCATTTTCCTTCGAAACTTGAATTGTCTTCCTTCGAAACTGCTTTCCCTTGAAACTTGAGGTATCTTCCCTTGTTCTCCAGGTGGGCACCTGATTACAAGAAAACAGACAAAACAAAAGAAATTTTTTCTGTCCCAGTTTGCACTAGGAAGATTTGTGAGTTTTTAGCAAAATTATAAATCACTTGTACTATTGATGCAATGATGAGACTAAACTAAAGAATAGACTAGGAAAACTATAAACTAAGTTTGACTAAAGTAAAGACTGACCCTATTCTCCAGGCGGGGCCCCTGATTTAAAGAAAACTAAACATTGATAACTTAAGAAAACTAAAAATTGACCCATTTTTTCAAATCCAGACTTTCATTTTTTTTTCAAAATATCCTAGGAGAAAATTCGTGAGACTAGGTTTTCTATCTTAGGAGAAAGATTCATCAGACTAAGACGTTAATCCTAGGAGGAAATTCATCAGACTAGGCCTTTTCCTTTTTTTTTTTGTTTTTTTGTATCTTAGGAGAAAGATTCATCCGACTAAGACGTTTACCCTAGGAGAAAATTCATCAAACTAGATTTTCTATCTTAGGAGAAAGATTCATCATACTAAGATTTCTATCCTAGGAGAAAATTCATCAGACAAGGTCTTCCATCTTAGGAGAAAGATTCATCATACTAAGATTTCTATCCTAGGAGAAAATTCATCAGACAAGGTCTTCCATCTTAGGAGAAAGATTCATCAGAATAAGATTTTGATCCTAGGAGAAAGATTCATCAAACTAGGTCTTCTATCTTAGGAGAAAGATTCATCAGACTAAGATTTTGATTGGGAGGAAAATCC